AGGGCTTGACCGCCGGGGGGCGAGTCGCCGCGGCAGCGGCGCTCCTGGACGGGGGCGGCCTGCCTGGTCAAGGCGCCAGCGCGCCGCCCCGGGGGGGCCCGAGGGGCGCGAGCTCCTCGGCAGCAGGCCCCCTGGCGACGGCGCGGGGGTGATCTCCGCGGTCGCGGCCAGCGGGGCTGCGGGCATCTGCCGGCGACGAAGCGCAGCCCGCGCAGGGCAAGTTCCCGGAGGCTCGGCCCGCCGAGCCCTGCTCCAACGGGGCGCAGCGCCAGAAGAAGAAGAGGAGAGGAAAGAAAAGGGGAGACAAAAAAAGCGCCGCTCGCCAGCGAAAGGGCCGCCCGACGGCAGACTCCGCTCATTTCCCGGCGCAAGCGGCGCCCCTCGGTGAATTGCCCGTTGCCTCGTATCTGGCTCAATCGATGTCACTCCACACAATAAACTCCGCATGGCGTTCTTGATGCCACTGATGCCCGCGCCCGTCGTGGTTCTTGAAGTTATGGCAGAGTTTTGCAAAGCTTTTCCATGCCCCTCGAGTCGGGGCTGACGTATAACGCGCACGCTCCTTGAGTGGGAATTGCGCACCCGAGGGGTCATGTGCAATATTGTTTGCCCTGACCACTAACACTTGGTATTTCTTAACTTCGCGGTTTGGTCGGGCCCCCTCGTCTTCTCCTCCGCGCGATTGCTTTCCACGCAGCATCTCGCGCGTCGCTTTGTACTGCGACCTAGCCGCCAAACTTCTAACGCACAACTCAACGTGCCATTGATTCGCCTCATTCCATAACCCATATTGGTTCCATTCCATTATTCGGTTGGGAATCCTTAGCAACTGCAAATGCTGTGGCCCTTGTGCGAGTCTGCGCGGATTGAAAATTCGATGCGTTGTTTGACTGCTCCTTCGAGCCCGTCAGGATCATCATCAATATTCAGTGAAGTAAGATGGTTCCCAATGCACTGTCAGCCGTTTTTCGCCGCGCCACTTGCGCGCGCACATGGGGGGGCCTTCCCGTTGTCAAAATAAAGTTCGCGTGCAAGTCCACGCGGCAGCCCCCCCATTTGCAGGCGGCGTCCTGGGCTCGGCGCATTGGCTGCAATAGACTGCCACGCGTGCCCAATTCGCGATCTTCTTCGGGCAACTTGACGACGAGGTTGCTCTTGGCCTCGGCGTGAACGCATGCTCCCTGAACGCATGTAGACCCCAGTTTGAATCCTCTCTCGCGCTCTCCTCGGTCATGCCCCATGAACTCGGCGACGGCCATGGGGAATGAAAGTTTCAAGGCTTCCGATGGAGGGGCGGATGCATATGCAATCTTCCCTTTAGAGTTGCACGCGCCATGCTGGGCCGCCAGCTTGGGCGCATTCGGGATTGGCCTCGTCGCCCTCGCTGATATAAATCCACCTCGAAACAAGGGCCTCGCCTGCAAAAGCCCAATCTTCCTCTTACCCCTGTACTTTCTGAAACGCACCGCCCCTCCTAATTTGCCCCATCTCCTCTTCTCGAGCTTGTGAAACGTAAGTTTCTGGATCGCGCTCACCCGGGGTGAGAAGGCGCGCGAGATGATTGACTGCCCCCCGCCCCCCTTTCGCCCCCACACAACGACCATAATCTCATTTAAGGAGGGGGAGAAAAGGGCATCCGGGCCCCCCGGCGCACCCCTGGAGACCCCGTAGCTTCCGAATCTGCTTCCGCGGCCTCAAGGCGGTGCAAGACGGCCCCGGGTCGCCGACCCACGTGCCCAAGACGTCCACGATGGCTCCAAAGCGCCCCAAGACACTTCCGAGACGCCCCGAGAGAAGCCCAAAAGCCTGGTGAAAAAAGGGCCTCGAAAGGCAAATATCACGTGTTCGCCTTAATGCTTTCGTTGTTCCTGGGGCGTCGTCTTCTCGAGCTCCCGACGTTCCTAAATGGCCAAAAAGGCCCCGTAGACCGTCCCCAAACTGCCCGAGAGGCCCCCGCGATGGCCCAAGGAAGGCCCAGGAGAGTTCCAATTCGGCCCAAAACGGCCAGAGATCGCCCCAAGAAGGCCCCACAAGAAACCAAGAGGGAGAACGCGAACCGAAAACCATGCCGTTCCGAACCAAGAGCCCCCCCAAAGGCCCCGAGAGGACCTCGAGCGAAGCAGCCCAAAAGAGGCTCGCAATGAGCCCCAAGAGGCACCCAAGAGGCCCCAAAATGACTCCGACGACGCTTGGTTGCCTCCATTCGGCTCCACCTGGCCCACAAACAGCCCCCGATGCGCCCGCGAGAGTCCCCGAACAGTGCCCAAGAAACCCGCGACGCCTGAACCGTAGAGTCCCCGCCTCCTCTGGCGGTCGGCGGAACGGCGTAAGCCCCTTGATTAAACGATATCACCAGCAGCGACATGCCGACAATGTCGCGCTGTTGCAGACCATAATTATGCTGTGTCGCGCCACCAATGCCGCCTGCGTCGCAGCTTGACCCAACGCTTTCGAACTTCATTTCCCGTGCCACACGCGTCGCCTTAAATCAATATCAAGTAGACCGTGCTGACTCATGTTCGATGAGGGCTGCCTGGTCAAGTCCCTCGCAGCGTGGTCTGCGAACCAGGTGGACTCGAGGTGGGCTTTCCTGCCCCTGGAAAGCGGACGCTCTGTATGCAGACAAGAAGATTAGCCCCGATCGGCCCCACATCGAAGGCTGCGACCTGGGACCCGCTAGTGTCGCCGCTCGCGCAGATAATGCAAAGCGCACGCCGCAGTGCATCGCGCCCCGCGTGCTCGAGAGAGCCACCGCCCCTCGGCGTAGCACCGTCACCATCTTCATCGCGAGGCTAACACCAGCGAGAGCAACGCACTGCTGTCAGGGGGATAGCCGGCCTTGCACGATACCAACGGACACTCGGCCATTGGGGGTTCTCGTAAGACGCGCTATGGGACTGCTTCCACCTCCAAAACACGTCAGCACGAACGTATTTTGCGTCGACCCTCCCTCGCCTCTGCAATCCCAATGTTAGCTTCGTCGGATCAGATTTCATGTCGACCGTGTTCTGCGTGGCGCGTGAATTTGAGCCGACATGGTCCTGACCAAGCACCATCCCCTGTCCATCCGCTCTAGCAGGTTGCGCTTCAGCCCCCCAGCCGACTGGACGGCCTGGCACAAACTTCTGGCCATACGCGCAACGCGCTTGGCATCAGCAGAGGGGTGCAGCCAACTGGAACAAAAATCCTTCGCAGAGTTGGGATTCGCTGAATCTCCCTGGCCAATCCTGAACCCACTCGGCGCCAAAGTAGGAGCAAGCCTTGGCATGGGACGACCGGGCTCACATAGCGATGCGGGGCAAAGCCTCCCTACTCGATGGGCGACGGGCAATCAGAGCCTGCAGGGGCCTGCGATGAACAGCTTGGGCGGCGCGGCCACCGGACGCCTTTACAGTCCCTCGACAGCCTTTACCTTCTATGTGAACGTTGAAATGGTGATGTCCGAAATCGCCCGGGCAACCTCTTGCCCCGCCTGCCGTGACAAAGTTGACGCTGACACGTCATGGTGCAACAATCTCGCAACCTTGCAATTTGAGCCGACGCGCGTTCTACGGATAAGGAAGAGCGAGGTAAACGAGGATAGTGAAGGCCGGGAAATGATGACGAGGAGTTGGCAGGAGAAGAAGGGAGGAAGGAACAGACAAAGAGATTATAACCAAACCACACCCGCCGGGGAGGGCCGCGGGGTCGGAGAGAGGAACATGTGGACGTCTTGGGACGGCACCACGGAGAAATAAAGACTCTCTCTCGCTTCGCCCGTCGACATTCTCGCTCTCTGCCCATTCTCCCCAGTTCATTCCACCTCCTCCCCTTCTTCACGATTCCATTATTTTGCTTGGCGTCCCTCCCTTCCACTTCCAATCCTCCGTTCTCTCGCCATCCCCCCTTTGTCGCCCCACCCCTCCTCCTTGGCGGGGGGGGGGGGCTGAGGGAAGAGAGCGTGTCTCCACTCCATAGGGATAACGATCGTGAGTGGCGAGGGCGGGGGCCCGGTAAGAAGGGGTGCGGTGGGGGTTTGTGGCGGCGGCGCCCTTGCAAGCTTGGATGCGCGTCGTCGACGATGACCACGGCCACGACGACGAACGACAAAGACGAGGACGAGGACGTCGACGCTGACGTCGTCTGGACGCCTCCTGGGGTCTCCCGGGGCCTTCAGACGTGTCCTTGGAGGCCGCTGGAAGCTGCTGGCAGTCTCCCTGGAGGCCTTCAAAGCCAGAAGAGCACCACAACATCACCACAAGAAGGACGACAATGCGGAGGACCCAGTATCAAAATAGCTTGCATGCGACACAACGTGCATGCGAGTGAGCACCGCAGTGAGCCGCCTGCGAGCACACCGACGAAAACTACGACGACGACGTGGACAGCAAGACGCTTCCGGAGGTGAACATCGTCGTCGTGGTGTTTGCCCCTCCTCCTCCTCTTCTTCCTCTTCCTCCTCAATCCTATTCGTTGCCCGTCATGATGATCCTCCTCCTGCTGGAACGCTACGAAACAACATTAGTGTAGCCATGTCGCCTTTTGTTGCAAGCGCCACGGCATGCGTGCGAGCACCACCAACATGCCTGAAAGCACCGAAGCGTCCGAAGGGCCAACAAAGGCCCGCACGGCACCGCCCGCTGTCGCAGTATGGCTGTGAGCACCACAGTACACCTGCACGCGCCACACGATGCTTGCGAGCACCACGATCGTGCGCGAACACCATAGTAGTATGCAAACCGCGCGGCCAACGCATTAATCTGTTAGCGCCACCTGTGAGTCGAAGGGGCCCCCTCTCCCCCCCGTGCGATCGTGACTGCCGCGGTTACTGTGGGAGGGGGCTGCGGGGGGGCAAACGGACATTACCCTCCCGAGGAATAAGCAATCAGGTCGAAGAGAGTGCGGAGCAAGGGAGGAGGCGCAACAGAGAGGACGGATCACCAAACCGCCCCCTGCTCGCACGCTGCCAGCTCCTGCCGATTCCATGCCGTCGTGGGGCACGCGGACAGGCGCGGGGTCTCCTGATGGTCTTGTCGTCGGAGCAACTCGCCAGGCGGTCGCTCCCCATGTCGACCACGTCCCTGCGAGGAGAGGACTGTTCGGAACTCTGAGCAGGAGGGGGCATCAACCCGTGGGGTGGACAGCGGACACCGCGCAGCACTCGGGTAGCACAGGACTGGGCGCCCCGACCACGCCGGAACCCTCGGTGGGGAGGGCAGAGGACGGAGCTCGAGAGGCTAAGCACACCTAGTGTTGGACGTCGCTGCCCTCCTTCAAAAGCACGCGCAACAGAAAAATAACATGCACGAGCGCTTGCGGAGGGAGAGCCTGCACAGAGCTCTGAAAGACCCACAACATTGCGACCTATCCATCCACCGTAGCCGTCAGCAGTTGGCCCACTTCCAAGGTTGCAGGTAGGTCCGAATACCACGAGGCTTCGCATCTAGAGATCATGAGGGTCGGCGGGCGCGTATTTCGATAATGTGTTCCGAGCCTGTCTCTCCTCTCATCGTATCGCAAAAAAACTTGTACCCCAACTGAGGATCAGGGATTGGGCTAGGACACGCAATGGGCAACGTGTGCACAACATCTTGGGCAACGTGTGCATGAGAAGTGCGCGCTGAAATGGCCGAATACGGTCCAGACGCAAAGCGGCTGGGGATCAAGTTTTCGGCGAATTTCACCGTAAGCCCAGGGGAGCTAGCGCGGAGACTCTGGTTTGTGTAACATGCGCAGCCAAGCTCATGTCCGAAACTACGAAACCCACTGCCATTCTGTTGTAAGAACTGCTGTCCAAACCACTTTCGCTGAACATCTGTTGATTCGCCTGCCCCCTCCGCCCCGCTGCTGAGGCTGCGAGTGCCCGAGAGACTTCGCTTCAAGTAACGATGCCTCGCTGGGTCTTCTATCCTCGCTGTCGTCTTACTCACTTGTCTTTCCCTACCCCTTCTGCTCATACGATGCCTTCTCTTTCTCTCTCTGCCTCCCACCCCAGTGGTATCATTTTTCAGCACTCCCTCCCCGCTTGCTTCCCTTGTACAAAGACTCACACGAGGAAGGACCCTTGCGCTGCCAGGTGGCAATGCTATGGACGGCGCCGCTGTCGCGGCAAATAATTGTCTCAGCATGTATGGATGCCACAGCAAACACAAGCATTTGCCTTTCACTGTCTGAACTCTGGGTGCGCTGTTGGTGGCCCTCCTGACCCAATTCGTGTGACCCTTCAGCGTTGCGATGCATCTGCCGTCCACCGCGCTCCAAATCTTCACGCTCTGGTCGAAAGACCCGCTCGCGACACAACCTGGCAACACGCACTGTTGGCGCGTACAACGCACAACAAACCGCGACCAGACCGGCACGTGAAGGGGAGGACAACACTGGCGCAAGAAAAGTGAGCATCCAAGCGAGAGGAGTCCAAGGATATAGACCACTAGGCCTGGCTGAGTACGTACATGCGAAAGAGAGAGAGAGAGAGAGAAAAAAAAAAAGAGAACGTGAAAGAGAGAGAGAGATAGACAGAGGGAGAAAGAGAAACAAAAACACAGAAAGAGAAAGCAGAGAGGGAGAGAAAAAGAGTGAGAGAGAGAGAGAAAGAAAGAGAGCTGGACAGGCAGCTGGGCGCGGGGAACCTAGCGAACTATATTGTACTGCGAATTGTTGTGGAAATCGTATTGGGAATGCGTGTGGGGGTCCAAGCGGCAGACCAACCGTTACAAACATGAGAAACATGCACCCTGTGGCAAAACACATCAGCACAGCTGCGCGTGGCGAACTATGACATGATGTACCAAACGATGCTGTCCCAATATGCGGCCAACGTCATCATTTGCTTCATCGTTTTGCCAAATCAGCGCTTGCACTGAAGTGTGATTACGTGTGCCCTGCTTGACTGGGTGGGATCTCCAGATTTTCGCGCGACGGCCGCCCGTGAGCGCCCGGTGGCAGCCCCGTGCGCTGGCTGGAATTTCCGGGTTTTCGCGCGGTGGCCACCCTTGGCCACTACGTTGCTGGCCCGTGCGCTTGCTGGACCCTCTAGATTTTCGCGCGGTGTTTAGCCCGTGGCCGTCCAGTGGAGGCCCCGTGCTCTGGCTGGGTTCTCCAAACTCTCGCGCGGTTCACGCCCGTGGCCGCCGTGGCCGCCCCGTACGCTGGCTGGGTTTTCCGGGTCTTCGCCTAGTGGGCGCCCGTGGCCACTACGTGCGCTGTCCTGCAATTTCACAATCTTCGTCCGTTGGGCACAGATGGCCGCCCCGTGGCCGCACCGAGCGCTTGCTGTCATGTCTGGATGCATGCAGAGCTTGTTCCACACGGATCCTCCTGTTCTGGCAAGAATAAGAATATGCCCCCCTCTCTAAGGTCGGGAGTAACGCCCCCCCTTCGAGAATAGTTGTCATATCTATTCTGGACGACTCCTCAGCCTTAATATCAAATAACAGCATGCGGGTCAGGCTGGTATCGATACCCCGGCCATTTCCTGCCAACGCAGTGCTATGCGGAGCGCACGCGTTGAAATACTAACGGCTTGCTCTAATAATCCATGGCAACAAATGCGTTACGGGGCATATTCGTGTGCCGCCGCGAGCGCTCGCCAAACACCTTCAACATGTTTTTGCTCAAGACATAGCTTGCCAAACACTGTCACATGCCAATAGTTCTCCAACACACAACTGCCAGACGTCTACGCGCGGCCACTTGCGCGCGCATGTCGAAAACGTTCAGCAACCATGGCGCTCTCACCAGCTCTGTCAAACACTACTACGCGGGAGCCACGCGCATCTCCGCGCGCGTGCGTCGACTGTCGTCCGAAACCATAGGCTTTCGAACCATTTCAACAGAGATGTGCTCAAACATCTACGCAGCCCACGCGGCTTCGATTCAAAACATGTCACGGTGCCTGGATTTCTGCGGGCGAGCGCTTTCTCGCCACACTCTTCAGGGCACTCGTTGTCATCATTGTCAGCGTGTGCATTGCCATAACCACCAACACCATCGTAAAAAATCATCGTCACCGCTGTCATCGTTTAAGTCGCCGTCGTCGTCAAATTTCTGCGCGAGGGCACTTCATCATCACGAACACTATCGCCATCACCATCGCCAACGTGATGTTTGCCACCATCATTATCATCACCGTCATCTTTATCACCATCACCACCGTCGTCGTCGACATCATATCGCCCCGATCTACACTGTCATCGCTATCGGCACCATCACCACTGTCATCGGCATCGTCGTTGGCGTCGCGTCCATCACCATCGCCGCCAACATTCCGCGACCTTGAGAATCGCCTCGCTTATGCGGGTGAGATTAACGCGCCCGTGCCCTCGGTGAGATCGTGGCCATATGGACTGTGCGAACACGTTGCGGGCGAGGGGTGGTCGCTCGCGGGTGTTGCGAGGGGTTCAAGGAGCGATTTCACGAAGAAAACAAAATCCACGCGCGCGCACATGCCAACATCATTACAAGCACGTCCCGTATGCAGTCGCATCAACATAACCACACCCTGCGATGTACCCAGCCCCTCCTAAACATGTGGCGACTATACACAGGTCCGCTCAACAGGAACGAACATGTTCAAGGACCCCCAATGTGCAGGAGCACCCCTCCATGCGCAGGTAGCCACGAGGTCTCTGGGTCTGCGTGGCCCTCCACCCCGCTGGACCTCCAAAGCAGCCCACGAACGTGGCGACAATTGCGCAATTCGCAACCCGTTGCCTCGGCTGGGTCGGCGTACTCCCCCACTCCGCTGGACCCCCAGGGAGCCAACGAACGAAGCGACAAGTGCGAACTTCGCAGTCCCCGAAGGGGACCTGCGAGATCTCAGCTGGGTTTTCGTACACTTCCACTCCGCTGGACCTCCCAGGAGCCCACGAAAGTGGCGATGGTTTCACGCTTCGCACCCCCCCAAGGAGCCGCGATGTCTCGGCTGGGTCTGAGTAGACCTCCACTCCGCTGGATCTCCCAGGAAGCCCACGGACATGGCGACAGTTGCGAACTTCGCAGCCGCTCTGGGAATCGCGAGGTCTCGGCTGGGCCTGAGTGGACCTCTGCTCCGCCGGACCCCCCAAGGAGCCAACGAACGTGGGGACACTTGCGCACGTCGCAGCCTCCCAAGGAGCCAGGAGGGCTCGTGTGGGTCCGAGTGGGCCTCCACTCCGTTGAACCTCCAAAAAAGCAAAAGAAGCCACGAAACTGGCGAAAATTGCGCACTTCGCAGCCCTCCAATGAGCCGCGAAGTCTCGGCTGGGACTGCGTAAACCTTCATTCCGCTGGGCCTCCTAGAAGCCCACGGAGATGGCGACAAATTCACACTTCGCAACCCCCCAAGGAGCCGTGAGGTCTTGGCTGGGACTTAGTCTAAGTGGGCTTCCACTCTCCTGGACCTCCCAAGAGCCCACGAACGTGGCGACAGCTCTCGGCTGAGTCTGCGTGGGCCCCCACTCGGCTGGATCTCCCAGGAGCCCACAAAAGTGGTCCCATGAGGGAGCTCCACCGAAGGCCCCAGTGGCTGCGTTCGCATGCGCCCACCGCACCCATGTCGGCACACCCCTTCGCACGCTTCGTGGCCCCATAGGGGACTCCACCGAGGGCCCCACTGGCTGCATTCGCATGCGCCCACTGCATGGATTTAGGCACCCTCACACGTTTGTAGCCCCAGAGGCCAGAGGGAGCTCCACTGGAGGCCACAATGGCTGCGTTCGCATGCGCCCACCGCGCTGATCCTGGCACACCCCTCACACGTATCGTGGCGTTGGCATGCGCCCACCGCACCCATGTCAGCACACCCATGGCATGCTGTGTGGCCCATAGAACCTTCACCGAGGGCCCCAGTGACGGTGTTCGCATTCGTCCGCCCCACCTATGTCGGCATACCCCCTCACACGTTTCGTAGCCCCAATAGGGAGCTTCACCGAAGACCCCGGTGGCTGCGTTCGCATGCGCTCACCGCGCCCACTTCGGCACATTCCTGACACGTTTTGTGGCCTCATAGCGAGCTCCATCGAAGACGATACTCACAACTGCTTTACTCACAACTGCGTATGGTTGGGCCCTTCGCCTGGCTACTTGTATTCGAGTCGTGCTCCATCCATTCATCCAGCCATCCCGTCACTCCTTTCCCGTCTGACCCCTGCCTTCCCCGATCCTGCATACGCTTCCTCCTCCGCTCTCGTCCTCTGCTGGTCCACTTGCGCGGTTGCATGCGTGACCTCTCTTTCGTGTCTTTGTTTATGTATGTTGACTTTATCATTTGTCTCTCTCTCTCTCTCTCTATATATATATATCCCTCTCACGCCGTACCTTGCCTGTATGATCCCCCCGCAAGAAGCACACTCGTGAGGGTAAACGCATGCACAAACGCCAGCACACGCTGCGCTTTCTGTAAATGCGGGCCGCGCTTGCTCAGGCGACGGATAGCACACTCTGCAAACAAGATGCCGTATCGCCGTCGACCTACATGCACACGCAACCGAACAGCCAGACCAACTAAGACCATGGAGTCAACTCTCCTCAATATTCGAAGACAGCCGGGTTCAAAATATGCACGACTGCGGCAACACCACTTCGAGCAGAAGATAGAAGCTCTCAAAGACAGCCCGTTGCCTGAACCAAAGGCCGTCACGCTCCGAACCTTGTCACTGTGCCCTTTGAGGGTCCTCAAGCACTGACCGGTAGTGACGTCCTCGAGTTCACCCGATCCTTTTCTCATCCCTCTTGTACCCCCTCTGCTGCCTCCTATTTGCCAGTCGTTGCAACCCTACTTCACGAATGCACACGGGCCCTCGTTTGATGTCGTCTGCAATCCTCTCGCACTGCTCGCTCACTTGCCAAGAACTGCTGGGCAGCATGGAATGTAACGATGTTCGAGCACCATATTGCATGAGCGCCTGCCATGGGGTACGACAGGACACCATAACAAGCAAAGCCGCATTTGCTTCTCCTGAACAGTGCCACGAGAAACCTACAACACGTCAAGATTACGACCGTGCCTTGCGTGTCGAAAACAATGGCGGCAGTAACAGCGGCAGTGACAAAACTCAACATGCGTTTTAAAACCCAATGGACGGTCGAGTCCCAGATCTTGAGGGTCTTGTCGTCAGAGCTGCTCACCAGACGGTCTGGAGACAGGAATGGTTTGCCAAGATCAGAGAAGCGAGAGGCAGAAAACGGTCGACCCGAGCGCTACGGTCGCTCGGTCGCTCTCCACCGCGACGGGCCCTCCTCCACCCAACTAGCGTATACCTGGCAATGCAATGGCCACCAGGGGCCTCGCTTACAAGAAAAATACGCCGCAGGGTCCACTGCCTGAGCAGTGGCCAGCACGGCCAGTTTAGCCAGCAAACGTGACCGCGCCGCCGACGACCCATGTTTCCTTGCGCTCGCGAAATTGAACAGGTCGGTTGTAACATTCTGCGCCCATCTGCACCGCTGACCTCGCCGCTCTGACGGTCGGCTGGGCCATATGGCGCCACGCCGCCGCGTCCCCCTCTTCGTTCCCCCTGCTTCCCTCTGCGTCCTCCTCCTCTTCGTCGTGCTCCTCTGCTTGCCCAAGGTCAACTTCATGATCCTCCTCTTCCTCCTCCTCTTCCTCCTCCTCCTCCTTCTCCTCCTCCGTCGCCGTTTCCTCCTTTTCCTCCTCCTCTTCCCTGTCCTCCTCCTCCGCCCTGTCCTCCTTCTCCGCCTCCTCCTCCTCCTCCTCCTCCTCCTCTTCCTCCCTGTCCTCCTACTCCTCCTGCGGCGCGCGCGGGTCTCTCCCGCGGCCGGAGCGCTGTAGTCGGGAGCCGGCGCAAACACCCCACCCCAGGTGCGCCCCACCGCTCGGCGGCGAGCCCCCCCTCCTCCTTCTCCTCTTCCTCCTCCTCCTCCTCCTTCTCCTCTTCCTCCTCCTCCTCCTCCTTCTCCTCTTCTCCTCTTCTCCTCTTCTCCTCTTCTCCTCTTCTCCTCTTCTCCTCTTCTCCTCTTCTCCTCTTCTCCTCCTCCTCCTCCTCCTCCTCCTCCTCCCTACTATGGGCCTGAGAAGTCTAAAGGGCGTCCTGGGAGACACGGACGGGCCTCCGTATTTCTCGGGCGCTTTTGCCGATCCTGGATCATCATGGCCGGGCCCTGCAGTGCGATCCAGGCTCCACGGCCAGTAAAGCCGAGGAGCGGGACGTAGACGAGGGCGACTGTCCGAGCTCGACCTGTGAGGACCGAGCCGGGCGGGTGCTCCGACGGCTCGAGTGGGGGGGGGAGCCGCGGCTGCGACGTGGATCACGACAACCAGGACCTCCAGCGCGCTTGGGACGACGACGGCTGGGACCTATGGTGCGAAAGGGACCATGGCATGAAGGGCGGTGCAGCGCTGGCTGCGGCCCAACCGACGCTGCGGGCTCGCGAGAGCCCCAAGGGGGGGACGAGGAGACGAAGAGAGTCAGAGCGAGGAGCCTCGCTCGTCCCCTCCCCTTGACTGATTTTGGCGAGAGCGCCGAAAAGTTCGCCGAAGCGCCCGACATGGCTACGGCGCCGATCGCCGAGGTAATTCAGGCGAAGGCCGAGCGCCGCGTGGAGGACAGGGGTCCCGACGACCAGCACCTCCACTACGACTGGGGCCACGGCAGCTGAGGCCTCCAGCGCGACGGGGACCACTGCCACTACAGAGGACCCGACGACCAGGACCTTCTGCGCGACGGGGACCGCGACGGCCCAGACAGTGACCTAGACTTAGAGACCGGCTGTGTCGAAGGTTTGGGCGTGGATGAGTGTGACCACCCAGTTTCTGCTTGCGAGGGCCGAGTTGGAGGCGTCGACGATGGCGTGGGCAGGGCGCCCGACGTCTCATGCAGGGTGGGCGCGGCCGCGACGTGGGCCACGACGACCAGGACCTCCAGCAGAATTAGGACCACGACGACTGGAACCTCCAGCGCGACAGGGACCACCGCAAGAAGCGCGGTGCAGCCCAGGACGCGATGCAGCCGAAGCCACGGGTTCAGGAAGGAGAGCGAGGGGACGTGGAGAGCCATGACGAGACTCCCAGCTCCTCCTCCCTCCCTTGCCTAACAGCGTCGGGGCGTTCGCCGAGGCGCCCGACGCGCTCGAGGCGTCGTACGACGAGGTCATCCGAGCGATGGCCGAGCGCTGAGCGAAGAATAGTGACCACCACGACCACACGACCAGGACCCCGGAGACCCCAGGCACGACGGGGAACCCGACGGCTGGGACATCCAGCACGACGTGGACCACGGCGGACCTAGAGGCACGCGAAGTGAGCTGGACAGCCACGCCGATTGCGGCACCGACAGCCTCGCCGACAGCTGCGCCAACAATGGCGCCAGCGATGCCACCGACCGGCTGGCTCCCCGACCGCGGTGCCCGTGGCTTCGCCGACACCTGCTCCTACAGGTGCGCCAACAGCTGCGCCGACGGCGGCGCCGACAGCTGCGCCGCTTGCATCAACGACGGCCGCGCCGACTGCAGCACCGACAGCCTCGCGGACAGCTCCCCCGACAGTTTCGCCGACGGCGACACCGACTGCAGCGCACCGACCGCTTTCCTCACAGATGTGCTGGCTGTGGGGCCGACAGCGGCACCCACGACGGCGCCGACAGTTGTGCCCATCACAGCGACAGCAGAGGCGCCATCCTCGCAAGCGACGAGAAGGTGGACCTCGAGAGCGTGCCCATGGAGGACATCCCGGACATCTGGCTCGACCCGGACACCGGCCCGAGGGCGACGGCGGAGATCGAGGCTTCGCAGGCGGACTGTGAGATGATTATTCGGCACGGCCGTGTTCGAGCACCTGCAGCCTGCAGCCCAGCAAGGGCACTAACGACGCCGCGGAGGGCGCCACCGAGCTGCGGCGCTATCGGCCTCACCAGGGGCCTGGGCTCCGCGTCCGGCGAAGAAGTCTGGCCTGGCCCATGAGCTGCTGGTGACGCGCGACCAAAGCGTGCAGCTCATGGACAACGTCAGCGACTATGATTCCACCGTCGACTCCATGCTTGACGCCGTCGGTAGGGCGCCCGAGAGCGTCCCAAGCATCTTCGGCCCTGCCGAGGGCGGAGAGCGAGCGCGGCAGCTCCAGCAGCAGGCGCAGGCGAGGAGATCGAGACGAGCACGGCGGGGAGCGGGGGGCAACAGAGCACACGACTGGGCTGCCGTCCGAAATCGCCGTGGCTGGCTTGGCAGAGGGTTCAATTACGCAGGCGCAGGCAGACGAGGCTGCAAGCCAGACAGCCCTTCTCATCGAGCAGCGCAGGGCCATCATCGGTGAGGAGGCCAACACAACGTCGAAGGCCGCGTGCCGGGACAGCCAAAGGGAGCAGCTCGACACGGAGATCGAGCAGCCCAACGCTGAGAATTCGGAGCTCGGCGAGACGGCCGAGAAACCCGACGGCGGAGATTTCTGGAGGTCCACCGCCAACTAGTAACCTCGAGAAAAGGAAGGCGGCGGATGGCGTCGGGGACGGCAGTGCGCACCCCAAGAAGCAGCACGACAGCCTTCCAACTGCGCCGGCTGCTGCGCCGACTGCGGCGCCAACGATGGCACCGACTGGTGGGCCGACAATTGCGCCGACTGCGGCACCGATGGCCTCGCCGACGGCTGCGCCAACTGTGGACCCGACAGCTGCGCCGACCACGATACCAACAGCTGGGCCGACAGCCGCGCCAACTGCGGCGCCGACGGCCGCGCCGAAGACCGCATCGGCAATTGCGCCAACAACGGCACCTGCAGCCGAGCCGACTGGGGCACCGACAGTCTCGCCGACAACTGCAGGGAAAGAGGAGGCCAGGAAGGCCGCAGAGGCCACGACTGCAGAGGAGGCAGAGGAGGCCAGGAAAGCGGAATGGGGAATGGGCCAAGGTGGCCGCGGAGGCCAAGACGGCCGAGAGGGCCAGGGCAAGTGCGACAGGAGAGGTCGTGACGGCGGGGGAGGCCAGGAAGGCAGAGGAGGTCAGGATGGCAGAGGAGGCCAGGAGGGCATCGGATGCCAAGAAGGCTGAGGATGCTAAGAAGGCCGCGGATGCCAGGAAAGCCGAGGCCCAGAAGGCAGAGAAGGCTGGGAAGGCTGAGGAGCCCAAGAAGGTTGCGAAGGCAGAGGATATTAGGACAGATGAGCATGTCAAGAAGGCGGAGGAGGCCAGGAAGGCCGAAGAGGCCCAGAAGGCCACGAAAGCTCAAGAAGGCGGATGAGGCCAGGAGGGCCGAAGAGGCCTAGAAGGACACGAAAGCCAAGAAGGACGATGTGGCCAGGAAGGGAGAGGCGGCCCAGAGGGCAGAACATATCAGGCGGACAAACTCCCAAGCGGCACCAACAGCCGCGCTGACTGCCGCACCGACAGCCTCGCCAACAGCTGCGCCGAAAACTGCGCCGACTGCGGCATCAACAACCGTGCTGACTGCGGTGCCAGCAGCCTCGCCGACAGCTGCGCCGACTGCTGCACCAACGATGGATCCGACCACCTTGCGGACGATTACGCCCACGACGGCGCCAACGATGCCACCGACCGGCTCGCCGACGGCGGCGCCGACTGCGGCGCCGATTGTTGTGCCGAATAAGGCGCTGGTAGTTGCTCCGACTGCGCCTCCGAAAACTGCCTCGACTGCGGCGCCGACCAACCAGTCGACAGCTGCACCGACAACGGCACCGACAGCTGCGACGACAGCGGCGCAGGCAGCTGCTCCGACGGCGTTGCCGACAGCGGCTTCGACCGCCGAGCCGCCCGCGGTGCCGACAGCTGCACCGACAGCTGACCAACCAGGGCACCGACAGAGGAGGCAAAGCAGGCTTGCAAGGCTGGAGAGGCCCGGAATGCCGAGGAGGCCAAGAGGTTTGAGGAGGCTAGGAAAGCTGAGTAGGCCAGGAAGGCGGAGGGTGTCAGGAAAGCTGTGGGGGCCACGGTTCCAACAGCTGCTCGGACAGGAGTGCCGACAGCGGCGCCGACAGGTGCGCCGACAGCTGTGCCGACTGTGGCCTCGCCAGACGCGCCGCCTGCGACGCCGATAGCCTCGCCGACAACAACTACAACAACTACAGCTGCGCCGACCGCGACACGGACAGCCTTGCCGACAGCTGCCCCGACAGGACTAGTGCGCTGACTAGTGCGCCGATTGGTGCGCCGACTGGTGCGTCGACAGCTGCGCCGACAACGGCGCCCACGGCGTTTCCAATCCTCGCTCCGACAGCCGCGCGGGGGCGCCGACAGCGAGACCGACAGTTGCGTCGACAGTTGCACCGACGGCGGCATTGACAGTTCAGCCACTAGCTGCGCCGACTGCGCCGCTGACAGCTGCTTCCACAGTTGCGCCGACAGCGACACCAACGATGGCACCGACTGGTACGCCGAGAGCTGCGCCATCTGCGCGATGGCTGCAGAACTGACAGCGGCAGTGGCAGCGGCGCCGACAGCGCCGCCGACCGCTTCGCCGAAAGTGTCGCCGACAGCAGCGCCAACGGCAGCACTCTCGGTGGCAACGACCAATCCGCCGACAGCTGCGCCGACTGTGGCGCTCGCAGCTGCACCGACCGCGACACGGACAGCCTCGCGGACAACGGTACCAACAACTGCACCGACAGCTGCACCGACCGCAGCACCAACGACGGCACCGACTGACACAGCGACAGTTGCGCCGACAGCGATACCAGCAGATGCGACGACTGTGGAACCGACTTTTGCGCTGGCAGCGGCACCGACGGCGGTGCCGACATCGGCGCCAATAGCTGCGTCGACTGCGGCACCGACCGTCCCTCTGACAGCGGCGCAAACTGTGTCGCCGAACGCTTCGCCGACAGCGGCTCCGACGGCGACACCACATACGGGGGCACCGTCCGCCGACAGCTGCGCCGACTGCGGCAGTCGCAGCTGCACCGCCCACGAGACGGATAGCCTCGCCGACAGCGGTCCCGACAACTGCACCGACGGCTGAACCGACCGCGGCACCAATGAAGGCACCGACTGGTACGCAGACAGCTGCGCCGACTGTGGCATTGACTGCTGCGCCGATTGCGGACCCCACCCCCCTTCCAACCGCGGCGCCGACAACGTCGCCGAAAACTGCGCTGACTGCTGCACTGATGGCGGCGCTGGCTGGTTCTTTGACTATTGCGCGACTGTGATGCCGACAGCCGCCGCGATAGTCTCGCTGACAACTGCGCCAACTGTGGTGCCAACGGAGGCGCCGACAGCTATGGCGACAGCTGTGCGGACCGTGGCACCGGCCGCCGTGCCAGCAGCGCTGATAGCTGCGCCGACTGCGGCACTGAGAGCTGCTCCGAAAAGTGCGCCGACGGTTGTCGCCGACAGCTCGCCGACTGCGGCACCGGAAGCTGCGCTGGATGTGGCACCGCCCGCCACGCAGTCTGCAACGCCGACAGCCAAAAGCTATGTCAACAGCTGCGCCGACTACGGCATTGACTGCTGATCCGTCAGGTGCGCCGACTGCGGCACCAGCAGCGGCCCCGACAGGTGCACCGACAGCCTCGCCGACAGCCACGACGACAGCTGCGCCTACCGCGGCGCCTACAACTGCACCGAACGCGGCGCCGACAGCCTCGCCGACAGCGGCCCCGACAGCTTCACCAGCGACACCGACTGCGACACCTACAGCTGCGCCGACCGAGACACGGGCAGCCTCGCCGACAACGGTCCCGACGGCGTCACCGACGTCTGCACTGGCTGCGGCAACAACGTTGGTACCCACTTGTGCGCCGACAGCTGCGCCGACAGCTGTGCCAGCAGCGGTGCCCACGGCATCTCTAACCCTCGCTCCGACAGCCGCATCGTTTGGTGCATCCACAGCGACGCCGACCGCTGCTGGGGCAAATTCACCTACAACTGCGCCGACCCCGACACGGACAGCCTCGCCGACAACGGCCCCGACAGGTGCACCGACGGCTGCACCGACTGCGGGACCAACGATGGCACCGACTGGTAATTATGTCGACAGCTTCGCCGACTGCGGCAAAGGCGGCCGAGACGGCTGCGAAACCGACAGCGGCGGTGGCAGCGGCATAGACAGCGGCGTCGACAGCGGCGCCGACCGCTTCGCCAGCAGCCTCTCAAACAGCTGCGCCGACTGCGGCACCGACAGTTGCACCGATCGCGACGCGGGCAAGTTTCATCGACAGCGTCCCCAACAGCTGCACCGACGGATACACTGACTGCGGCACCGACGGCGGCGCCGACTTGTACGTCGACAGCTGCTCCGCCTGCGGCGACGACCGCCTCGCCGACAACTGCTCCAGCCGCTGCGCCGACGGCGGCGCCGACTGACCTTCCGACAGCTGCGCCGACGGCGCAGCGCCGGGACCACCGCGTGCGCGCTGGAAACTGCGTCGACTGCCGGCGTGTGTGAGAAGCTTTTCCGTTTGAATTGTCGTCGTCCTCCTCCTCCTCCTCCTCCTCCTCCTCCTCACCGTCGTCCGATCCCTCCCTTTCCCTGGGCCATCCTCTTCAACCCCAACGGATATCAAAGAATGTCGTAATGTGATTCGAAGGGAGACCCTTCCCCTTAATCTCTTCCCTACCTGGGGGGGGGGTCCTGGGGGGTGTCCCCGGGGTGTCCGGGGGAGATCCCGAGATCCCACAAGGGGTCGATGTCCCCCCTGGCTATAGGCCCCGGGCTTGGGCCCCAGGCCCGGTATTGTGCCCGCCTCATGCCCCCGCTCCGGCCTCGGCCCCGGACCCACGGCCCTTGCCCGGGCCGCAGCGCGGGTCCCGGCCCCGGCCCCGGCCCCGCGGCCCCAGCCGTGGCCCCAGCCCTGACCCCGGCCCCGGCCGCGGCCCCAGCCCAAGCCCCAACAGCGCCCAAGAGGCTGCCAAGAGAGCCCCAAGAAAGGCTTTAGAGCGTCAGCGTCGTAGTCGTCGTCGCCGCTGCCGCCGCCGCTGCCGCCGCCGCCGCCGTCGCCGCCGTCGCCGCCGTCCCCCTTCAGGGTCGGCGGCACCCGCCGTTAGGTCTTCCCAATGTAGTGCGGCTCCCTAAACAGCGTGCTGTCCTCCCTCGCCCCTGGCTCTTCCCCCATTGTGCCCGGCCGGGGCTAGGGCCCTTGGCGGGCCCCCTCTCCCGCTCGTCCCGCTGCAGGTTAGGACATGTTTTTGGGCACAGCCTCGCTGTGCGATAGAGTGCCCTGTTGTTCTCAGCCGTTCGGTAAAAGATGACTTGGCGGCCTGGGCGGCTTCAGGCCTTGCGAGACTTCAAGTGGCAGCATGTAGGGCAACACGGAGTCTCTCTGGAGGGAGAGAGAGAGAGAGAGAGAGAGAGAGGGGGGGGGGGGGGCAAAGCCGCGCTCCGGGGGCGAGCGCCGCGACGCCCCGGACGGACTGCGCGTGCCCCTGCAGCGTCACGAATAGCTGGCCGTACGTCGTGTCCCAGACCTGGCCCGCTGCAACATCCCTCGCTTCGAGAAGCATAGTTCACCGCTGTAGGTCGAATCGCATTGCACTCCTTGCGCAGGGTGGTCGGAGCCGAGATTTCGCCTGCCTGACGGCAAGCTTGGAACTCGAGAGCCCAGCGGATAGCTCCAGCACCTTGGGATGCCCTGGGGTCCAGCGTGAGGTCTCCAGGAGTCGAGACAAGGTTAAACGTACTGCCGAAAGCCGACGCCATCCAAACTGCTCAGAAGATTTGACATTCGACTATGACCTTCAGGGACCCGTGCGATGGAGACCGGAAGAGAAGATGAGGAGCAAATGCCGAGGGCCACCTCAGGATTCCAAGTTCCAGGGCGACGGCCTCACTGTGGTTGTGCGGGTCTTAGCAAGCGAGCTGCACAAGCGTGAAGAGAAAGGCCGGCCAAATTGCCACATCCAAACCTCCTGCTAGGCTGTACACCTCCCCATTCACTTCACACCTCCCTCCCTATCGACCCCACTCCATCCACTCGTTTTCGTCTCGCACCTCCCCGCTATCTCACTCACTCCTCACTCTCTCTCTCTCACTCTATCTCACGCAATCCTCTCTCTCTGTACCTCTCCGCTTCCCTCCTCCCCCTACCCCTTCGTTTGGTTTGCTCGTCCTCTTCACCTCTCCGTCCTGTTTCGAAGCCTCTTTTCTGCTCTCCCTGTTGAGATCGTCGTCGTCGCCCCTGCCATCTCCCTCCGCCTCCGTCTTCCCCTCCGCCAGACGTCCAAATCATGTTTGCGCCGCTGCCGTGCCCCGCCGATGGCCCGACACACCGAGCATGAGATGGGTCATGGTCTGGGCTGCGCGCCCCCGCCGGCCCCTCGGCAGCGATGGCGGGGAGGCCTTCACTGTCCCGTCCTCCGAGCCACTCGCCAGCACGTCTGGGCGCAGCGCGGTCACGCACGTGACGGAGTCCCTCCGCGCCCGCCGGCGCGCGCAGGCACGCGCAACAGTCGCCGAAAACCGAGTAGCACGCAACGCCAGGGGCAGACTGGCAGCAGGACCCATGCGAGCCGATGATGGGCTGTCGGAGGCAAGATCGTAGCGAACAAGAGACACGCATGGAGAGATCGTCGAAGATGCCGGCGACCAGGGACCGATACTTTCGAGGTGCAAGGGCGCGTACTTTTCGAGGTGCACGGGCCGGACCTGCTTTGGATATACCTGTGCGGACAAACTTCGATGCGACCACCTGTAACTACTCGAGCACGCGCACCAGCGAGGCGCTATTTGGACGTTGGTGCGGTCGCGGAGGACACGAGCACCACAAGTGCTCGCTTAAAGAGAGCAGCAATCCATTGCCGCCAATCGTGAAGCGGCGACCCTGCACAACCCGTGCCACGGAGATGGCTGTCCTTCTGCTTGAGGCTTGCCAGCTGCTGCATCAAGTGGATCTGCTGTCTCGGCCAACTTCGTGGATGACACGTGCAGTCGCCCACCTGACGACCAACAAGACAGTCTTATGCCCCAGTGGCCCCAATTCAAGTCACTGATGGACCCGATCGCGACTTTGGAATGATATGTTTTGCTGGAGGTAAGACCAATGCGGGACAGTGCTGCAGCACCACGCCGCCTCTGCGAAATAAGGAACTCAAAGGGTCCCGGAGCCCCCCGGGATCGGGCGGGACCCCCCGGGTCCCGGCGAGCACTTCGTCGTCGTCGTCGTCGCCGTCGTCGTCGTCGTCGCCGCCGTCGTCGACATCGTCGTCGTCGTCGTGGCCATCCTCTCCTCCGACTCCTCCCCCTCCCTCTCCTCCTCCTCCTCCTCCTTCTCCTCCTCCTCGTCCTCCTCCTCCTCGTCCTCCTCCTCCTCGTCCTCCTCCTCCTCGTCCTCGTCCTCGATTTTTTCACCATCCAAGAGCCGGAGCGAAGCCCGATCAGGATATCGGCAAACGCCGGCTGACACATCGAATCGGCGAGAATCAAGGCCACGTAATCCCGCAACCGTACCGGTACGCGTGGTCCTGCGACCGTACCGGCACCGGTCCCGTGGGAGCCCGATACCGTACCGGCGCTACTGGTACTGGCTGTCCTAATCGGACAGTGCTGGCCGTACCGACACCGCGTGCTCTTGCCACCGTACCGTGCCGTACCGTACCGTGGCCATGGTGGCCATGGCTGACGCCATCCAGGCCCTGGAGGAGGAAGTCGGGAGGAGGGGGGGCGGAGGGGAAGAACCCCACGAGGAAAAGAAAGGGTGGGGGGGGAACTCCATGGCTGACGCCATTCAGGCCCGGGAGGAGGAAGTCGAGGGGGGGGAGGGGGGAGGGGGGAGGCCGACGCCATGGCTGACAACATTCAGGCCCAGCAGTGAGGAGGAAGGGGGGGAAGAGCCTGACGCCATGGCTCACGCCATTCAGGCCCAGGAGGGAATCGGGGGAGGGTGGGGGCTGACGCCATGTCTGACGGCATTCAGGCCTGGGAGGGGGGATGGGGTGGGGGAGCTCGCTCAAGCATTGCGCAGTCGACGAATCACGCTTGCGGATCGACGCTGATAGACGCCAAATCGGAGTTATGTTGTCGCCTACCAAACGCTAATCGACGCTAACGCACCCAAAAAACGAAACAAGGAGGGTATACAAGGCTCCCATGATTTGCTACCAAAAGCAACCAAGTAGGTTGTCTGACCTGCAGGATCACTCCACATCGCCTGGGTGAGCCTCAAACCCGAACCCAAACCTCCCAGTCCAGAAGTCACGTGAGACCCTAGTAGTAGTAGTAGTAGTAGTAGTAGTAGTAGTAGTAGTAGTAGTAGTAGTAGTAGTAGTAGTAGTAGTAGTAGTAGTAGTAGTAGTAGTAGTAGTAGTAGTAGTAGTAGTAGTAGTAGTAGTAGTAGTAGTAGTAGTAGTAGTAGTAGTAGTAGTAGTAGTAGTAGTAGTAGTAGTAGTAATAGTAGTAGTAGTAGTAGTAATAGTAGTAGTAGCAGTAGTAGTAGTCGTTGTCGTAGTAGTAGTAGTAGTAGTAGTAGTCGTAGTATTAGTAGTAGTAGTAGTAGTAGTAGTAGTAGTAGTAGTAGTAGTAGTAGTAGTAGTAGTAGTAATAGTAGTAGTAGTAGTAGTAGTAGTAGTAGTAGTAGTAGTAGTAGTAGTAGTAGTAGTAGTAGTAGGGGTGCACCTGGTCTTCGTGTCGCTACAAACCTCACCCTCGTGTACTCTTCTTTTGTATCAGGCCTAATAGAACTCCTACCAGGGGAATTACGAAAACCGTAGTTTCAAACCTGGCTTCGTGTCTTTCGCGCCAATGCCTACCTTCGTGCACTATTCGCTGTAGAGGCTGTAGATTGGATTCGTAGAAAGTGAACAAAAACGACAGTTTTACACTGTCCTTCGTGTCGACGTCGGATTTGGAGCACCGCCACTGCCAGCCGCTTCATTTCGGCACAACCCTCTCGAGGATCGTGGGCCTGGCCCTCCGACGCGCGATTCCGGCGCGCACTTCACTAGGATCGTGGCCCTGGTCCAATTGGGAGCGCTGCCGAAGGCCCACCGACGTCCAATTCCGGCACGCCGCTCACGAGGATCGTGTCCTGGCCCACCTGGGAGCGCTGCCGACGGCCCACCGATGAGCAATATCGGCGCACCCCTCACCTGGCGTTCGTCGGTCTCACATTCGCTGGCCAATGCCTACCTTCGTGCACTATTCGCTGCCCATAAAACGACAGTTTTACACTTGTCCTTCGTGTCGACGTCGGACCGCCACTGCCAGCCGCTTCATTTCGGCACAACCCTCTCGAGGATCGTGGGCCTGGCCCTCCGACGCGCGATTCCGGCGCGCACTCCACTAGGATCGTGGCCCTGGTCCAAGTGGGAGCGCTGCCGAAGGCCCACCGACGTCCAATTCCAGCACGCCGCTCACGAGGATCGTGTCCTGGCCCACCTGGGAGCGCTGCCGACGGCCCACCGATGAGCAATATCGGCGCACCCCTCACACGGATCGTAGACCTCGCCGCATTTGGATCGCCGCCCGACACTGAAGTTCGGCACGCCTCTCACATGGATCGTGGCCCTGGCCCACTGGAGCGCTGCCGACGGCCCACCGACGCCCAATGCCGGAACACCCCTCGCGAGGATCGTGGCCCTCTGGTCCACTTCAGAGTGGATTTTCATAAGGACGTCGTTTTGGTTTTATTCGGGAAGGCATTTTGGTTTTATTCGTTTCTGGTTCGTGATGGTTAG